TCCTGCTGTGGCTGCTTTTCTGCTCCAGATGCCTTGTTGTGCTGCAATGCTGTTCTCTTGGCTTTCAACTTCCCACTTGTTTTGGGTTGAGTCATCTTCTCTCCCAAGTAACATGCCATCACTTTACCTATTTGCCACTGGTTTGATCATTCTCATGCCAATTTGGCTGAGCCTCTAAAAAATTGTCCCATCCAAAAAAGCAGACCTTAATTCAGGAGAGCTGAGTGGTCCAGGGCCGGTGCTGTCATGTAGCGAGCACTGGGCTGTGCTGTCTTGGTTTAAGCTTGGATCGGTTCAGGCTGGTGTGTGATGCTCTTTGCCCCTGCAAGGGGAGATATCTGTGCTCTGCCAACCTTTCTTTCTCTGACCTTTATGGCAGTTCTGTCACTTTTCTGGACGCGTTTTCAGCTGATTTGGTTTGCTAACCTGGTAGAAGACTTTCTCTTTAAATACATGTTTTATTATCTTTTTCCCTGGGTTTTCAGCTGGATTAATGAAGTGAAATGGCTCTGTGCGGTGACCTGTGTCCTAGACTGTGGTGTTAGCTCATGGAATTACTGCAGGTATCTGCAAGTAGCCAGAAATCAAACAAATCTGCATGTGGTGACAGTGATGACAAATTTGGTACTGTTTTTGGGATGATATTTCTTGGGGTAGGGGATAGGTGTGCATTTCAAGTCGATTTTCAGAGTCTAGTTAATTAATTTGAAAGGAATCACTCTGACGAGGTCCTTCCCAAAATAAAGAGCTGTGCCACCCTTTCCAGGCACAAACAGGAGGAGATCTCTCTTCATTTTTGTGTGTCCTCCAGTTGGCTGGTCTCTGCAAAGAAACTTTAGAAATGCTGATGCTTTTCTTCTTTTCCTGTGACTGTCAGGATTTGTCTTGTCAGTGTTGGTTCCTGGCTGACTGGCTTCTACTTGGTCCCAAATCAATGAAAACCTTGAGTTATTATACCCAGTGTGGTATCTGGATCAGAAGCGGCAAGACCGAAGCTAGCATATCACCCATGCCCTTGCTTCCCTTGTAGAGAGTGAAGGGGGTGCAAGGACCTGCAGGGCAGCTGCTTGCAAGGGGCAGAAAGAGTATTCTAAATTTCTTTCAGATTAAACTTTAAAATTACTCTCTCTGCTCCTAACAGGAACTGAAGGAGTCAACAAGATGCTGTGGTCAGACATATCTGCACACCAGAGCA